TCTCTCTCTCTCTCTCTCTCCTCTCTCTCTTCACAGCGTTGAATGCTGCTGACATGTTGAATGAGGTTAAAATCGTTTTTAAAATGCTGAGAGGACAATGCAATATGCATCACTCGGCAGATTACTACCGCGGACAAACACCCGTTCTTAGGCACAAACCCACAGCGTACGTTCCTGCCGACGCAATACCTACTCGCCCGTGAGCATGACACAAGGTTCGCATGCAGCTTTATGTGAATGCCATGAAACGTGTGTTTGTTTAAAAAAATCTAGTGTAATCACCCATGTCTCATGTCACCCATGACATGAGAAAGAAGCCATCACATTTGGGACGGGTAAATCAGTCATGTTATGCCTTTGGGCTGCAGGCTGTAGAAACGTGGGATCTCTACATTTCATGGCACCCCGCCCCCCCCCCCCATTCCAAGGTCGTTGAGATTTACCCTATGGCAACCGATTAAAAAATTAAATACAAAATGATTATCGGAGATAGCTCTACCTGAGCCGTTCCTCTGCCTAGGTCTCGGTAGGCAGCGCCAGTCCACGTTTTACCTTTCCGACTAAGCACTTCCATTTACCTTCCGGCCGTCTCCTGTAAAATCTCGAATTTAATTGCATGGCAAAGCTTTTCTGCATTTATAAATACTTTTTTTGCCCTATTAAATTATTGCCCAATTAAACAATTTTTGTTTAATAGGGCAATTGAAATATTCCATCACTAGCAGGTCGTGCCCGGGGAGCACCACGACCAACTGGGCACATCGCAACAACGTGCGTTAAAGCCGACCCAATATGTAACCTGTATGCGAGGCTGAAACAAGCTGTGCAGCGGATATGTGCAGATACCATGAAACGTGCTGATGTGAAATTCGAGCATCGTGGTCAGGGTACTAAGAACATTCTAGCCTCGGCCGATTATTGCCGGGGAGCGCCACGGCTTATAAGACACAAAATGACAGCGTGCATTTGGGCCGGTGCAGCACCTAACCGCACGCGAGCCTGCAACAATGTATGCGGCTTTATGCATATACCATGAAACGGTGTTTCACTGTATGTCACGGTGAGTCCCTGGCCGATACAGTAGGCCGCTAGTTGACTCAAGGGTCCCCAGTCAATGTAAATGGCAGGCCCCAGCCATGTCCCTATTCGAAAGTGGATCCCAGAGGCCAGGCCACGTCAGTGGCATTATGTTCAGGAATCATTTGGAGCACCTTGCAGCAGTTTCTAAATGCAGCAAAGCTATGTCATGCAGTTCAAGTGGAGATTTCAAGGCAGGCGGCCGTAAGGTAAGTTGAAGAGTTTGGCTGCAAAAGTGATAAAAAGTTTGCAGCTGGCACCATGGAGGAACACGGAGGAACCTTTCAGAGGAGGAACGTTTCTGGCGTACACGGAGGAACGTTTCAGACAGGGAGGGTGCCCCTAGTCATATTTTTGGCGATTCCTGCCATCAAATTCCATAAGTTTGATGCTCTACATTCTCAGAAAGTGGGGATGCCATTGCACTCCAACCTTCCCTGACATAGGAGCCATAGGCATATTTCTAAAGGATATCTTAATTCCTCTGCTGCGCCATGGGCAACCATTGTCCTTCGTTTGTCAGATAAACACGCTTCATGGGAGGTATGTGCCTACAGGTGTAAAATAACAATGGTCCATACTCGCAGGCCACTAGGTTACTATGTCGGCCTCGATGTATCCTGTGTGTATGTGCCACATAGTTCGTGGTGGTGTGCAGCAGTAATCCGCCGAGGATTGCACATTTTAATTGTTTACAAACACTTTTAAAAAGGTATCCGCCGATGGTTGCACCGAAGAAAAATTTACAACACATTTGACATGATCAGATGATGTTGGCGGCCGAAATGTAAAGAGTCCGCTTATGCCTATGAACGGCTCTATTGGAATACGAGTCAGGGAGGGAATCGTTATGATATGATGTATCCCTGTGTGTGTGTGTGTATATATATATATATATATATATATATATATATATATATATATATATATATATATATATACACACACAAATGCAAATGTGTATACAAATGTGTACACACACACACACACACGCACACGCACACGCACACGCACACGCACACGCACTCGCACCCTCACCCCGCACCCGCACCGCATCCGCATCCGCACCCGCACCCGCACCCGCACCCGCACCCGCACCCGATACCAGCACCCGCACCCGCACCCGCACCCGCACCCGCACTCCGCACCCGCACACCGCACCCGCACCCGCACACACACACACACACACCACACACACACACACACACACACACACACACACACACACACACACACACACACACACACACACACACACACACACACACACACACACACGCACACACACACACACACCTATGAAGTGGACTTTCTTGTTCATTCTCCTGTACTAACGCAGCGTTTTCTCTGTTTTGTATTGTGTGGCCAACTGATATTCAGATGTAGGTGAGGCAGGATATAGCCATAGGCGTCCAGGCTCTGCGGAGCCTCGTTTATGCTTGGTGGTTTCAAGTGAGCTCGGTTTTGGATGACATCTGAAAACCTCCGAAAGGGAAATAGGGGTTTGGCATGTGCGATTAGCCAATTTCAGGCAGGAGTGAAAAATTCACCAAATATGGGGAAAAGGAGTGAAAAATTCTTCCTCATAGGGTGTTGCTTTACACCCAAAGTCGGCAATTCTGGGACACTGTACTCAACCAACATACCAGTACACTCAGAAGTGCACAAAGAACACGCCTGTTTAAGTTTTGTGTCGCTACAGCGCATGTTCTAGTAAATATGAGCATGTAAAGCTGAGCAGGCCGGATGCTGAGGAATATCAGACTTTTGAATTGACATGATGGGGTCAAATATCGACCTAACAGGAACAAAATATTTTTGTCGATCGCCAGATCTCGCTTAGACCATTCCACTGGTGTTTTGCGTCAGACTTTGTGTTTGTTGGTTCGGAAACGGCAGAGGGATGGATGTTTTCGCATCGACCCCTCTCTGTCAGTCCGCATTACGAAAAACGGTGAATCGGGGTGAGCGTTATTAATCACTCCTGTTCCCTCTTTCAAGTCACGGCCATGTTCATATGCACTGAGTACGCACGCAATAAACAAACCACGTTAGGATGCAGGGGTGTGATTTCCTATTCAGCCACAGCCTTCCACACATCTACAGACTCAAGACTTACCGACTTTGCAGAGAAATTTGGGAAATTCGCGGAAAAAGCGCACGGAGGCGTACTTTTGGGATGGGGGTCGTAAATTATAATCGCTCGGTCCACTGCCAATGCATTTTGTGAAACACGCCCCCGTCCCGTTATCTGCATCCAGTGGCATCACGAATGTTGTGACGTCTTGACGCGCGTATTAAATACAATCAGCACAAACGCAACTGTCTCATGCCTGAGGTAACCCCCCCCCCCCCCCCCCTCCCGTCGAGCTTTGAGAAGAGAACGAGCTAAATCTGTGGAGAAACCTTTTGGTGTTCGTAATTTAGTGGCATTTGGGTTTTTTCTCACTGTTCAGCTCACTTCCATCAGCTGATTTTGTGAAACTTATCGTCTGTGTGAAACCCATATCGTCTGTGCTCGTTTTTGTGTGATGAGTCATTTTAAAAGTCACTACATGCTATATTGTCTCCACTCTATTCCCTGATCCTGGCCGTTACTGACCGTGAGAGGAAAAAATGCTACAACCGTTGCCACATTTTAGTGAGACCCCGGTGGATTGGTCCCAACGAGATCTCGCAACTGGCTCTCAGTTTGTATGATGTAAGCCAACAATTGACCCCATTATGGCCGGCTAAAGGTAGGATGAGGGTTGGATCCAGAGGGGGCCATGGGGTCATGCCCCCCCCCCTCCCCTTGGGCCTCGAAGGGGCCCATTGTCTCCGAGAGGGTCATAGCTGGCCGAACAG